GGCTTGAAGGCTTGAAGGCTTGAAGGCTTGAGGGCTTGAAGGCTTGAAGGCTTGAAGGCTTGAGGGCTTGAAGGCTTGAAGGCTTGAAGGCTTGAAGGCTTGAAGGCTTGAGGGCTTGAGGGCTTGAAGGCTTGAAGGCTTGAAGGCTTGAAGGCTTGAAGGCTTGAAGGCTTGAAGGCTTGAAGGCTTGAAGGCTTGAGGGCTTGAGGGCTTGAAGGCTTGAGGGCTTGAAGGCTTGAAGGCTTGAAGGCTTGAAGGCTTGAAGGCTTGAGGGCTTGAGGGCTTGAAGGCTTGAAGGCTTGAAGGCTTGAAGGCTTGAAGGCTTGAGGGCTTGAAGGCTTGAAGGCTTGAAGGCTTGAAGGCTTGAAGGCTTGAAGGCTTGAAGGCTTGAAGGCTTGAAGGCTTGAAGGCTTGAAGGCTTGAAGGCTTGAGGGCTTGAAGGCTTGAAGGCTTGAAGGCTTGAAGGCTTGAAGGCTTGAGGGCTTGAGGGCTTGAGGGCTTGAGGGCTTGAAGGCTTGAGGGCTTGAGGGCTTGAAGGCTTGAGGGCTTGAAGGCTTGAAGGCTTGAGGGCTTGAAGGCTTGAAGGCTTGAAGGCTTGAGGGCTTGAGGGCTTGAGGGCTTGAGGGCTTGAGGGCTTGAGGGCTTGAGGGCTTGAGGGCTTGAGGGCTTGATTGCTTGAAGGCTTGAAGGCTTGAAGGCTTGAAGGCTTGAAGGCTTGAGGGCTTGAGGGCTTGAGGGCTTGAAGGCTTGAGGGCTTGAAGGCTTGAAGGCTTGAAGGCTTGAAGGCTTGAAGGCTTGAAGGCTTGAAGGCTTGAAGGCTTGAAGGCTTGAAGGCTTGAAGGCTTGAAGGCTTGAGGGCTTGAGGGCTTGAAGGCTTGAGGGCTTGAAGGCTTGAAGGCTTGAAGGCTTGAAGGCTTGAAGGCTTGAAGGCTTGAAGGCTTGAAGGCTTGAAGGCTTGAAGGCTTGAAGGCTTGAAGGCTTGAAGGCTTGAGGGCTTGAAGGCTTGAAGGCTTGAAGGCTTGAAGGCTTGAAGGCTTGAGGGCTTGAGGGCTTGAGGGCTTGAAGGCTTGAAAGCTTGAAGGCTTGAAGGCTTGAAGGCTTGAAGGCTTGAGGGCTTGAGGGCTTGAGGGCTTGAGGGCTTGAGGGCTTGAAGGCTTGAAGGCTTGAAGGCTTGAAGGCTTGAAGGCTTGAAGGCTTGAGGGCTTGAGGGCTTGAAGGCTTGAAGGCTTGAAGGCTTGAGGGCTTGAAGGCTTGAAGGCTTGAAGGCTTGAAGGCTTGAAGGCTTGAAGGCTTGAAGGCTTGAGGGCTTGAAGGCTTGAAGGATTGAAGGCTTGAAGGCTTGAAGGCTTGAAGGCTTGAGGGCTTGAGGGCTTGAGGGCTTGAGGGCTTGAAGGCTTGAAGGCTTGAGGGCTTGAGGGCTTGAGGGCTTGAAGGCTTGAGGGCTTGAAGGCTTGAAGGCTTGAGGGCTTGAAGGCTTGAGGGCTTGAAGGCTTGAGGGCTTGAGGGCTTGAAGGCTTGAGGGCTTGAGGGCTTGAGGGCTTGAGGGCTTGAGGGCTTGAAGGCTTGAAGGCTTGAAGGCTTGAAGGCTTGAAGGCTTGAGGGCTTGAAGGCTTGAAAGCTTGAAGGCTTGAAGGCTTGAAGGCTTGAAGGCTTGAAGGCTTGAAGGCTTGAAGGCTTGAAGGCTTGAGGGCTTGAAGGCTTGAAGGCTTGAAGGCTTGAAGGCTTGAAGGCTTGAAGGCTTGAAGGCTTGAAGGCTTGAGGGCTTGAAGGCTTGAAGGCTTGAGGGCTTGAAGGCTTGAAGGCTTGAAGGCTTGAAGGCTTGAAGGCTTGAAGGCTTGAAGGCTTGAGGGCTTGAAGGCTTGAAGGCTTGAGGGCTTGAAGGCTTGAAGGCTTGAGGGATTGAGGTCTTGACGGCTTGAGGGCTTGAAGGCTTGAAGGCTTGAAGGCTTGAAGGCTTGAGGGCTTGAGGGCTTGAGGGCTTGAGGGCTTGAAGGCTTGAGGGCTTGAAGGCTTGAAGGCTTGAAGGCTTGAGGGCTTGAAGGCTTGAGGGCTTGAAGGCTTGAGGGCTTGAAGGCTTGAAGGCTTGAAGGCTTGAAGGCTTGAAGGCTTGAGGGCTTGAAGGCTTGAAGGCTTGAAGGCTTGAGGGCTTGAAGGCTTGAAGGCTTGAGGGCTTGAAGGCTTGAAGGCTTGAGGGCTTGAGGGCTTGAAGGCTTGAAGGCTTGAGGGCTTGAAGGCTTGAAGGCTTGAAGGCTTGAAGGCTTGAGGGCTTGAAGGCTTGAAGGCTTGAGGGCTTGAAGGCTTGAAGGCTTGAGGGCTTGAAGGCTTGAAGGCTTGAAGGCTTGAAGGCTTGAGGGCTTGAAGGCTTGAAGGCTTGAGGGATTGAGGGCTTGACGGCTTGAGGCTTGAAGGCTTGAAGGCTCGATGGCTTGAGGGCTTGAGGGCTTGAGGGCTTGAGGGCTTGAAGGCTTGAGGGCTTGAAGGCTTGAAGGCTTGAAGGCTTGAAGGCTTGAGGGCTCGATGGCTTGAGGGCTTGAGGGCTTGAGGGCTTGAAGGCTTGAAGGCTTGAAGGCTTGAAGGCTTGAAGGCTTGAGGGCTTGAGGGCTTGAGGGCTTGAAGGCTTGAAGGCTTGAAGGCTTGAGGGCTTGAAGGCTTGAAGGCTTGAAGGCTTGAAGGCTTGAAGGCTTGAAGGCTTGAAGGCTTGAGGGCTTGAAGGCTTGAAGGATTGAAGGCTTGAAGGCTTGAAGGCTTGAAGGCTTGAGGGCTTGAGGGCTTGAGGGCTTGAGGGCTTGAAGGCTTGAAGGCTTGAGGGCTTGAGGGCTTGAGGGCTTGAAGGCTTGAGGGCTTGAAGGCTTGAAGGCTTGAAAGCTTGAAGGCTTGAAGGCTTGAAGGCTTGAGGGCTTGAGGGCTTGAGGGCTTGAGGGCTTGAGGGCTTGAGGGCTTGAGGGCTTGAGGGCTTGAGGGCTTGAAGGCTTGAAGGCTTGAAGGCTTGAAGGCTTGAAGGCTTGAGGGCTTGAGGGCTTGAGGGCTTGAAGGCTTGAGGGCTTGAAGGCTTGAGGGCTTGAAGGCTTGAAGGCTTGAAGGCTTGAGGGCTTGAAGGCTTGAGGGCTTGAAGGCTTGAAGGCTTGAAGGCTTGAAGGCTTGAGGGCTTGAAGGCTTGAAGGCTTGAGGGCTTGAAGGCTTGAAGGCTTGAAGGCTTGAGGGCTTGAAGGCTTGAGGGCTTGAGGGCTTGAGGGCTTGAAGGCTTGAAGGCTTGAGGGCTTGAAGGCTTGAAGGCTTGAAGGCTTGAAGGCTTGAAGGCTTGAAGGCTTGAAGGCTTGAGGGCTTGAGGGCTTGAGGGCTTGAGGGCTTGAAGGCTTGAGGGCTTGAGGGCTTGAGGGCTTGAAGGCTTGAAGGCTTGAGGGCTTGAGGGCTTGAGGGCTTGAGGGCTTGAAGGCTTGAGGGCTTGAAGGCTTGAAGGATTGAAGGCTTGAAGGCTTGAGGGCTTGAAGGCTTGAAGGCTTGAAGGCTTGAAGGCTTGAAGGCTTGAGGGCTTGAAGGCTTGAAGGCTTGAAGGCTTGAAGGCTTGAAGGCTTGAAGGCTTGAAGGCTTGAAGGCTTGAGGGCTTGAAGGCTTTAGGTCTTGAGGGCTTGAAGGCTTGAGGGCTTGAGGGCTTGAAGGCTTGAGGGCTTGAAGGCTTGAGGGCTTGAGGGCTTGAAGGCTTGAAGGCTTGAAGGCTTGAAGGCTTGAGGGCTTGAAGGCTTGAGGGCTTGAAGGCTTGAAGGCTTGAAGGCTTGAAGGCTTGAGGGCTTGAAGGCTTGAAGGCTTGAGGGCTTGAAGGCTTGAAGGCTTGAGGGCTTGAAGGCTTGAGGGCTTGAAGGCTTGAGGGCTTGAGGGCTTGAAGGCTTGAAGGCTTGAGGGCTGGAAGACTTGAAGGCTTGAGGGCTTGAAGGCTTGAAGGCTTGAAGGCTTGAAGGCTTGAGGGCTTGAAGGCTTGAAGGCTTGAAGGCTTGAGGGCTTGAAGGCTTGAGGGCTTGAAGGCTTGAGGGCTTGAAGGCTTGAGGGCTTGAAGGCTTGAGGGCTTGAAGGCTTGAGGGCTTGAAGGCTTGAAGGCTTGAGGGCTTGAAGGCTTGAAGGCTTGAAGGCTTGAGGGCTTGAAGGCTTGAAGGCTTGAAGGCTTGAAGGCTTGAAGGCTTGAAGGCTTGAGGGCTTGAGGGCTTGAGGGCTTGAGGGCTTGAGGGCTTGAAGGCTTGAGGGCTTGAAGGCTTGAAGGCTTGAAGGCTTGAAGGCTTGAAGGCTTGAAGGCTTGAAGGCTTGAAGGCTTGAGGGCTTGAGGGCTTGAGGGCTTGAAGGCTTGAAGGCTTGAGGGCTTGAAGGCTTGAAGGCTTGAAGGCTTGAAGGCTTGAGGGCTTGAGGGCTTGAGGGCTTGAAGGCTTGAAGGCTTGAAGGCTTGAAGGCTTGAAGGCTTGAGGGCTTGAAGGCTTGAGGGCTTGAAGGCTTGAAGGCTTGAGGGCTTGAAGGCTTGAAGGCTTGAAGGCTTGAGGGCTTGAGGGCTTGAGGGCTTGAAGGCTTGAAGGCTTGAAGGCTTGAGGGCTTGAGGGCTTGAAGGCTTGAAGGCTTGAAGGCTTGAAGGCTTGAGGGCTTGAAGGATTGAAGGCTTGAAGGCTTGAAGGCTTGAAGGCTTGAAGGCTTGAGGGCTTGAAGGCTTGAAGGCTTGAAGGCTTGAGGGCTTGAGGGCTTGAAGGCTTGAAGGCTTGAGGGCTTGAGGGCTTGAGGGCTTGAGGGCTTGAAGGCTTGAAGGCTTGAAGGCTTGAGGGCTTGAGGGCTTGAAGGCTTGAAGGCTTGAAGGCTTGAAGGCTTGAAGGCTTGAAGGCTTGAAGGCTTGAAGGCTTGAGGGCTTGAGGGCTTGAAGGCTTGAAGGCTTGAGGGCTTGAGGGCTTGAGGGCTTGAGGGCTTGAAGGCTTGAAGGCTTGAAGGCTTGAGGGCTTGAGGGCTTGAAGGCTTGAAGGCTTGAAGGCTTGAAGCCTCGTGGGAACGAGGAACGTGGGAAAGAGGCTTGTGGGAACGAGGCTCGTGGGAACGAGGCTCGTGGGAACGAGGCTAGTGGGAACGAGGCTCGTGGGAACGAGGCTCGTGGGAACGAGGCTCGTGGGAACGAGGCTCGTGGGAACGAGGCTCGTGGGAACGAGGCTCGTGGGAACGAGGCTCGTGCGAACGAGGCTCGTGGGAACGAGGCTCGTGGGAACGAGGCTCGTGGGAACGAGGCCCCTGGGAACGAGGCCCCTGGGAACGAGGCCCCTGGGAACGAGGCCCCTGGGAACGAGGCCCCTGGGAACGAGGCCCCTGGGAACGAGGCCCCTGGGAACGAGGCCCCTGGGAACGAGGCCCCTGGGAACGAGGCCCCTGGGAACGAGGCCCCTGGGAACGAGGCCCCTGGAAACCCCACCCCATTCTCCCGCTTTCCATCACCCCGCCCCATTCTCCCGCTTTCCATCACCCCGCCCCATTCTCCCTCCTTCCATCACCCTGCCCCATTCTCCCTCCTTCCATCACTCCGCCCCATTCTCCCGCTTTCCATCACCCTGCCCCATTCTCCCGCTTTCCATCACCCTGCCCCATTCTCCCGCTTTTTATCACACCGCCCCATTCTCCGGCTTTCGATCACCCCGCCCCATTCTCCCTCCTTCCATAACTCCGCCCCGTTCTCCCGCTTTCCATCACCCCGCCCCGTTCTCCCGCTTTCCATCACCCTGCCCCGTTCTCCCGCTTTCCATCACCCCGCCCCGTTCTCCCGCTTTCCATCACCCCGCCCCGTTCTCCCGCTTTCCATCACCCCGCCCCGTTCTCCCGCTTTCCATCACCCCGCCCCATTCTCCCGCTTTCCATCACCCTGCTTCATTCTCCCGCTTTCCATCACCCCGCCCCATTCTCCCTCTTTCCATCACCCCGCCCTATTCTCCCGCTTTCCATCACCTCGCCCCATTCTCCCGCGATTCCTCACCCCGCCCCATTCTCCCGTTTTCCATCACCCCGCCCCATTCTCCCATATTCCATCACCCCGCCCCATTCTCCCGCATTCCATCACCCCGCCCCATTCTCCCTCTTTCCATCACCCCGCTCCATTCTCCCTCTTTCCATCACCCCGCCCCATTCTCCCGCTTTCCATCACCCCGCCCCATTCTCTCGCTTTCCATCACCCCGCCCCATTCTCCCGCTTTCCATCATCCCGCCCCATTCTCCCGCTTTCCATCACCCCGCCCCATTCTCCCGCTTTCCATCACCCCGCCCCATTCTCCCACTTTCCCTCACCCCGCCCCATTCTCCCGCTTTCCATCATCCCGCCCCATTCTCCCACTTCCCATCACCCCGCCCCATTCTCCCGCTTTCCATCACCCTGCCCCATTCTCCCGCTTTCCATCACCCCGCCCCATTCTCCCGCTTTCCATCACCCCGCCCCATTCTCCCGCTTTCCATCAACCCGCCCCATTCTCCCTCCTTCCATCACCCCGCCCCATTCTCCCGCTTTCCATCACCCCGCTCCATTCTCTCGCTTTCCATCAACCCGCCCCATTCTCCCTCCTTCCATCACCCCGCCCCATTCTGCCTCCTTCCATCACCCCGCCCCATTCTCCCGCTTTCTATCACCCCGCCCCATTCTCCCGCTTTCCATCACCCCGCCCCCTTCTCCCGCTTTCCATCACCCCGCCCCATACTGGCGCTTTCCATCACCCCGCCCCATTCTCCAGCTTTCCATCACCCCGCCCCATTCTCCCTCCTTCCATCACCCCGCCCCATTCTCCCTCCTTCCATCACCCCGCCCCATTCTCCCACTTTCCATCACCCTGCCCCATTCTCCCGCTTTCCATCACCCCGCCCCATTCTCCCGCTTTCCATCACCCCGCCCCATTCTCCCGCTTTCCATCACCCTGCCCCATTCTCCCTCCTTCCATCACCCCGCCCCATTCTCAAACTTTCCATCACCCGGCCCCATTCTCCCGCTTTCCATCACCCTGCCCCATTCTCCCACTTTCCATCACCCCGCCCTGTTGTTCCCCCTTCTCCCGCTTTCCATCACCCCGCCCCGTTCTAACGCTTTCCATCACCCCGCCCCGTTCTCCCGCTTTCCATCACCCCGCCCCGTTCTCCCTCCTTCTATCACCCCACCCCTTTCTCCCTCCTTCCATCACCCCGCCCCATTCTCCCTCCTTCCATCACCTCGCCCCATTCTCCCGCTTTCCATCACCCCACCCCATTCTCCCGCTTTCCATCACCCCACCCCATTCTCCCGCTTTCCATCACCCCACCCCATTCTCCCGCTTTCCCTCACCCCGCCCCATTCTCCCGCTTTCCATCACCCCGCCCTATTCTCCCGCTTTCCATCACCCCGCCCCATTCTTCCGCTTTCCATCACCCCGCTCCATTCTCCCGCTTTCCATCACCCCGCCCCATTCTCCCTTTCCATCACCCCGCCCCATTCTCCCGCTTTCCATCACCCCGCCCCATTCTCCCGCTTTCCATCAACCCGCCCCATTCTCCCTCCTTCCATCACCCCGCCCCATTCTGCCTCCTTCCATCACCCCGCCCCATTCTGCCGCTTTCCATCACCCCGCCCCATTCTCCCGCTTTCCATCACCCCGCCCCATACTCCCGCTTTCCATCACCCCGCCGCACTCTCCCGCTTTCCATCACCCCACCCCATTCTCCCGCTTTTCATCACCCCGCCCCATTCTCCCGCTTTCCATCACCCCACCTCTTTCTCCCGCTTTCCATCACCCCGCCCCATTCTCCCACTTTCCATCACCCCGCCCCATTCTCCCTCTTTCCATCACCCCGCCCCATTCTCCCGCTTTCCATCACCTCGCCCCATTCTCCCGCTTTCCATCATCCCGCCCCATTCTCCCGCTTTCCATCACCCCGCCCCATTCTCCCACTTTCCATCACCCTGCCCCATTCTCCCACTTTCCATCACCCCGCCCCATTCTCCCTCTTTCCATCACCCCGCTCCATTCTCCCTCTTTCCATCACCCCTCCCCATTCTCCCGCTTTCCATCACCCCGCCCCATTCTCTCGCTTTCCATCACCCCGCCCCATTCTCCCGCCTTCCATCACCCCGCCCCATTCTCCCGCTTTCCATCACCCCGCCCCATTCTCCCGCTTTCCATCACCCCGCCCCATTCTCCCACTTTCCCTCACCCCGCCCCATTCTCCCGCATTCCATCACCCCGCCCCATTCTCCCGCTTTCCCTCACCCCGCCCCATTCTCCCACTTTCCATCACCCCGCCCCATTCTCCCGCTTTCCATCACCCCGCCCCATTCTCCCGCTTTCCATCACCCCGCCCCATTCTCCCGCTTTCCATCACCCTGCCCCATTCTCCTGCTTTCCATCACCCCGCCCCATTCTCCCGCTTTCCATCACCCCGCCCCATTCTCCCGCTTTCCATCACCCCGCTCCATTCTCCCGCTTTCCATCACCCCGCCCCATTCTCCCGCTTTCCATCACCCCGCCCCATTCTCCCGCTTTCCATATCCCCGCCCCATTCTCCCGCTTTCCATCACCCCGCCCCATTCTCTCGCTTTCCATCAACCCGCCCCATTCTCCCTCCTTCCATCACCCTGCCCCATTCTCCCTCTTTCCATCACCCCGCCCCATTCTTCCGCTTTCCATCACCCCGCCCCATTCTCCCGCTTTCCATCACCCCGCCCCCTTCTCCCGCTTTCCATCACCCCGCCCCATACTGGCGCTTTCCATCACCCCGCCCCATTCTCCAGCTTTCCATCACCCCGCCCCATTCTCCCGCTCTCCATCACCCCGCCCCATTCTCCCTCCTTCCATCACTCCGCCCCATTCTCCCGCTTTCCATCACCCTGCCCCATTCTCCCGCTTTCCATCACCCTGCCCCATTCTCCCGCTTTCCATCACCCTGCCCCATTCTCCCTCCATCCATCACCCCGCCCCATTCTCCAACTTTCCATCACCCCGCCCCCTTCTCCCGCTTTCCATCACCCTGTCCCGTTCTCCCGCTTTCCATCACCCCGCCCCGTTCTCCCGCTTTCCATCACCCCGCCCCATTCTCCCGCTTTCCATCACCCCGCCCCATTCTCCTGCTTTCCATCACCCCGCCCCGTTCTCCCGCTTTCCATCACCCCGCCCCATTCTCCCGCTTTCCATCACCCCGCCCCATTCTCCCTCCTTCCATCACCCCGCCCCATTCTCCCGATTTCCATCACCCCGCCCCATTCTCCCGCTTTCCATCACCCCGCCCCCTTCTCCCGCTTTCTATCACCCCGCCCCATTCTCCCGCTTTCCATCACCCCGCCCCATTCTCCCGCTTTCCATCACCCCACCCCATTCTCCCGCTTTCCATCACCCCACCCCATTCTCCCGCTTTCCATCACCCCGCCCCATTCTCCCTCCTTCCATCACCCCGCCCCATTCTCCCTCCTTCCATCACTCCGCCCCATTCTCCCGCTTTCCACCACCCCATTCTCCCGCTTTCCATCACCCTGCCCTATTCTCCCGCTTTTTATCACCCCGCCCCATACTGGCGCTTTCCATCACCCCGCCCCATTCTCCCTCCTTCCATAACTCCGCCCCGTTCTCCCGCTTTCCATCACCCCGCCCCGTTCTCCCGCTTTCCATCACCCTGCCCCGTTCTCCCGCTTTCCATCACCCGCCCCGTTCTCACGCTTTCCATCACCCCGTCCCGTTCTCCCGCTTTCCATCACCCCGCCCCGTTCTCCCGCTTTCTATCATCCCGCCCCGTTCTCCCGCAATTTTGCAGACGCTAGGCCCTTGTTCTTGCAATTTTGCAGACGCTAGGCCCTTATTCTTGAATTTTGCAGACGCTAGGCCCTTGTTCTTGCAATTTTGCAGACGCTAGGCCCTTGTTCTTGAATTTTTGCACTCGCTAGGCCCTTGTTCTTGAATTTTTGCAGAAGCTAGGCCCTTGTTCTTGCAATTTTGCAGACGCTAGGCCCTTGTTCTTGAATTTTTGCAGACGATAGGCCCTTGTTCTTGAATTTTTGCAGACGCTAGGCCCTTGTTCTTGCAATTTTGCATACGCTAGGCCCTTGTTCTTGAATTTTTGCACTCGCTAGGCCCTTGTTCTTGCATTTTTGCAGACGCTAGGCCCTTGTTCTTGCAATTTTGCAGACGCTAGGCCCTTGTTCTTGAATTTTTGCAGACGCTAGGCCCTTGTTCTTGAATTTTTGCAGACGCTAGGCCCTTGTTCTTGCAATTTTGCAGACGCTAGGCTCTTGTTCTTGATTTTTTGCACTCGCTAGGCCCTTGTTCTTGAATTTTTGCAGACGCTAGGCTCTTGTTCTTGCAATTTTGCAGACGCTAGGCACTTGTTCTTGAATTTTTGCAGATGCTAGGCCCTTGTTCTTGAATTTTTGCAAACGCTAGGCCCTTGTTCTTCAATTTTGCAGACGCTAGGCCCTTGTTCTTGAAATTTTGCACACGCTAGGCCCTTGTTCTTGCAATTTTGCAGATGCTAGACCCTTGTTCTTGCAATTTTGCAGACGCTAGGCCCTTGTTCTTGAATTGTTGCAGACGCTAGGCCCTTGTTCTTGAATTTTTGCAGACGCTAGGCCCTTGTTCTTCAATTTTGCAGATGCTAGGCCCTTGTTCTTGAATTTTTGCAGACGCTAGGCCCTTTTTCTTGAATTTTTGCAGACGCTAGGCCTTTGTTCTTGCAATTTTGCACACGCTAGGCCCTTGTTCTTGCAATTTTGCACTCGCTTGGCCCTTTTTCTTGCAATTTTGCTGATGCTAGGCCCTTGTTCTTGAATTTTTGCACTCGCTAGGCCCTTGTTCTTGCAATTTTGCACACGCTAGGCCCTTGTTCTTGCAATTTTGCACACGCTAGGCACTTGTTCTTGCAATTTTGCACACGCTAGGCCCTTGTTCTTGCAATTTTGCAGACCCTAGGCCCTTGTTCTTGAATTTTTGCAGACGCTAGGCCCTTGTTCTTCAATTTTGCAGACGCTAGGCCCTTGTTCTTGAATTTTTGCAGACGCTAGGCCTTTGTTCTTGAATTTTTGCAGACGCTAGGCCCTTGTTCTTGCAATTTTGCAGATGCTAGGCCCTTGTTCTTGAATTTGTGCACTCGCTAGGCCCTTGTTCTTGAATTTTTGCAGACGCTAGGCCCTTGTTCTTGCAATTTTGCAGACACTAGGCCCTTGTTCTTGAATTTTTGCAGACGCTAGGCCCTTGTTCTTGAATTTTTGCAGACGCTAGGCCCTTGTTCTTTCAATTTTGCACATGCTAGGCCCTTGTTCTTGAATTTTTGCACACGCTAGGCCCTTGTTCTTGCAATTTTGCACATGCTAGGCCCTTGTTCTTGCAATTTTGCACACGCTAGGCCCTTGTTCTTGAATTCTTGCAGACGCTAGGCCCTTGTTCTTGAATTTTTGCAGACGCTAGGCCCTTCTTCTTGAATTTTTGCAGACGCTAGGCCCTTGTTCTTGCAATTTTGCACACGCTAGGCCCTTGTTCTTGAATATTTGCACACGCTAGGCCCTTGTTCTTGTAATTTTGCACATGCTAGGCCCTTGTTCTTGCAATTTTGCAGACGCAAGGCCCTTGTTCTTGAAATTTTGCAGACGCTAGGCCCTTGTTCTTGAATTTTTGCAGACGCTAGGCCCTTGTTCTTGAATTTTTGCAGACGCTAGGCCCTTGTTCTTGCAATTTTGCAGACGCTAGGCCCTTGTTCTTGAATTTTTGCACTCGCTAGGCCCTTGTTCTTGATTTTTTGCAGACGCTAGGCTCTTGTTCTTGCAATTTTGCAGACGCTAGGCCCTTGTCCTTGAATTTTTGCAGACGCTAGGCCCTTGTTCTTGATTTTTTGCAGACGCTAGGCCCTTATTCTTGCAATTTTGCATACGCTAGGCCCTTGTTCTTGCAATTTTGCACTCGCTAGGCCCTTGTTCTTGAATTTTTGCAGACACTAGGCCCTTGTTCTTCAATTTTGCAGACGCTAGGCCCTTGTTCTTGAATTTTTGCACTCGCTAGGCCCTTGTTCTTGAATTTTTGCAGACGCTAGGCCCTTGTTCTTGCAATTTTGCAGACGCTAGGCCCTTGTTCTTGAATTTTTGCAGACGCTAGGCCCTTGTTCTTGAATTTTTGCAGACGCTAGGCCATTGTTCTTGCAATTTTGCAAACGCTAGGCCCTTGTTCTTGATTTTTTGCACTCGCTAGGCCCTTGTTCTTGAATTTTTGCAGACGCTAGGCTCTTGTTCTTGCAATTTTGCAGACGCTAGGCCCTTATTCTTGAATTTTTGCAGACGCTAGGCCCTTGTTCTTCAATTTTGCAGACGCTAGGCCCTTGTTCTTGAAATTTTGCACACGCTAGGCCCTTGTTCTTGCAATTTTGCACACGCTAGACCCTTGTTCTTGCAATTTTGCAGACGCTAGGCCCTTGTTCTTGAATTGTTGCAGACGCTAGGCCCTTGTTCTTGAATTTTGCAGACACTAGGCCCTTGTTCTTCAATTTTGCAGACGCTAGGCCCTTGTTCTTGAATTTTTGCAGACGCTAGGCCTTTGTTCTTGAATTTTTGCAAACGCTAGGCCTTTGTTCTTGCAAGTTTGCACACGCTAGGCCCTTGTTCTTGCAATTTTGCACTCGCTTGGCCCTTTTTCTTGCAATTTTGCTGATGCTAGGCCCTTGTTCTTGAATTTTTTCACTCGCTAGGCCCTTGTTCTTGAATTTTTGCAGACGCCAGGCCCTTGTTCTTGCAATTTTGCACACGCTAGGCCCTTGTTCTTGCAATTTTGCAGACCCTAGGCCCTTGTTCTTGAATTTTTGCAGACGCTAGGCCCTTGTTCTTGCAATTTTGCAGACGCTAGGCCCTTGTTCTTGAATTTTTGCAGACGCTAGGCCCTTGTTCTTGGTTGTTTTGCACTCGCTAGGCCCTTGTTCTTGCAATTTTGGAGACGCTAGGCCCTTGTTCTTGAATTTTTGCAGACGCTAGGCCCTTGTTCTTGAATTTTTGCAGACGCTAGGCCCTTGTTCTTGCAAGTTTGCAGACGCTAGGCCCTTGTTCTTGAAATTTTGCAGACGCTAGGCCCTTGTTCTTGCAATTTTGCAGATGCTAGGCCCTTGTTCTTGAATTTTTGCAGATGCTAGGCCCTTGTTCTTGAATTTTTGCAGACGCTAGGCCCTTGTTCTTGAAGTTCTTGCACACGCTAGGCCCTTGTTCTTGCAATTTTGCAGATGCTAGGCCCTTGTTCTTGAATTTTTGCAGACGCTAGGCCCTTGTTCTTCAATTTTGCAGATGCTAGGCCCTTGTTCTTGAATTTTTGCACTCGCTAGGCCCTTGTTCTTGAATTTTTGCAGACGCTAGGCCCTTGTTCTTCAATTTTGCAGACGCTAGGCCCTTGTTCTTGAATTTTTGCACTCGCTAGGCCCTTGTTCTTGAATTTTTGCAGACGCTAGGCCCTTGTTCTTGCAATTTTGCAGACGCTAGGCCCTTGTTCTTGAATTTTTGCAGACGCTAGGCCCTTGTTCTTGAATTTTTGCAGACACTAGGCCCTTGTTCTTGCAATTTTGCAGACGCTCTTGTTCTTGGATTTTTTGCACTCGTAGGCCCTTGTTCTTGAATTTTTGCAGACGCTAGGCTCTTGTTCTTGCAATTTTGCAGACACTAGGCCCTTGTTCTTGAATTTTTGCAGACGCTAAGCCCTTGTTCTTGAATTTTTGCAGACGCTAGGCCCTTGTTCTTCAATTTTGCAGATGCTAGGCCCTTGTTCTTGAAATTTTGCACACGCTAGGCCCTTGTTTTTGCAATTTTGCACACGCTACACTCTTGTTCTTGCAATTTTGCAGACGTTAGGCCCTTGTTCTTGAATTTTTGCAGACGTTAGGCCCTTGTTCTTGAATTTTTGCAGACGCTAGGCCCTTGTTCTTCAATTTTGCAGACGCTAGGCCCTTGTTCTTGAATTTTTGCAGACGCTAGGCCTTTGTTCTTGAATTTTTGCAGACGCTAGGCCCTTGTTCTTGCAATTTTGCACACGCTAGGCCCTTGTTCTTGCAATTTTGCACTCGCTTGGCCCTTTTTCTTGCAATTTTGCTGATGCTAGGCCCTTGTTCTTGAATTTTTGCACTCGCTAGGCCCTTGTTCTTGCAATTTTGCACACGCTAGGCCCTTGTTCTTGCAATTTTGCACATGCTCAATCCTTGTTCTTGTAATTTTGCGCACGCTAGGCCCTTATTCTTGCAATTTTGCAGACGCTAGGCCCTTGTTCTTGAATTTTTGCAGACGCTAGGCCCTTGTTCTTCAATTTTGCAGACGCTAGGCCCTTGTTCTTGAATTTTTGCAGACGCTAGGCCTTTGTTCTTGAATTTTTGCAGACGCTAGGCCCTTGTTCTTGCAATTTTGCAGACGCTAGGCTCTTGTTCTTGATTTTTTGCACTCGCTAGGCCCTTATTCTTGAATTTTTGCAGATGCTAGGCCCTTGTTCTTGCAATTTTGCAGACACTAGGCCCTTGTTCTTGAATTTTTGCAGACGCTAGGCCCTTGTTCTTGAATTTTTGCAGACGCTAGGTCCTAGTTCTTGCAATTTGCTAGGCCCCTATTCTTGAA